ACTAGGTCAAAAAACTCTGTGGGTGGGGCCCAGCAATTTGTGTTTTTACAGTCTGGGTGATTTTGTTGTACTCTAAGCTCTGAGAACCACTACTCTAGAACAAAGTGTCCCAACCTCCACACTCTGGACATTTTGGACTGGATAATTATTGTGAAGGGCTGTTGCCCACACTGGCATGTTAGGAGGTACAGAAGCACTCCTGGACTCAAGCTACTAGATACAAGTAACATGTACCCCAGTTGTGACAACTGAAAATTTCTCCAAACATTATCAAATGAATCCTAAGGGGAAAAAAAATCATCCTTGGGTTCAGAACTACTGCTCTAGATCAGAACTTTATTTGGAACTTGTTAAAATGAATACTTCCATGTCCAAACTTTGCAGTCTGATTTAGTAAGTATATGGAAGGACTCTATAATCTATATCTTCAAGAGGGATCACCAGGTTAGTGGCCCATGGGTCATACTGTAAAAAACAGAGCCTCTGAATAAATGGTTCTCAAACTCTGCTTGTTAAAAAAAAACTATCTATCTATCTATCTATCTATCTATCTATCTATCTATCTATCTATCTATCATCTATCTGTGTATCTATCTATATCTTTGTGTGGGTGATTCCAATATGCAACCATATTTGAGCAACTTCTCTAACTCAGTAGTTTTCTCTCTTGGATGGATATTGGAATCCCCTGGGGAACCTCTAAAACTCTTCATGCCTATTCCCTGCCTCAGAACAACTTTATCACAACCTCTGGGTATGGGTCTCGGGCACTAGAAAGGTCATTCTCAAATTTGGCTACATGCTAGACTCATCTGTAGATCTCTAAAAACCACTGAGACCTGGCTCCCAGCCCCATTCTGATATAATCAGTATGGGTTTGAACTTCTGGTTTCAGGAGATTTTAATATGTAATAAAGTTTGAGCACTACATTAGAATGTCTCAGAAGCTTTTCAGATGTTTCTAATGGGCGACGGGGGTTGAAAAACTGCTACGAGCTGATCCCAAGTCTTAAAGTGGCTAGTTTAACTTGTTCTTTCTAATAGTGAAAGGAAAGTAAATGATCCCACTGAATGCTATGAATTGCTAATACCTGCAGATGCCTGAATGAAGTTTAGAGCACCAAAGGTGCAGAAGTCTTGCGTTTCCAGCCTTGACAAAGACTTAATAACAACAGAGAATGTGCTATTCTTTAGGAAAGAGTATCCAATGGTACACAAAGAACTGGCAGTGCTCAAGTTGTACGCCATACATGTACACATAATTGGGGATGGTTACTAGGCATAATAAGTATTTTCTAAAGATTCCCAAGTGAGTCTGATGTGCAGCAAAGCTGGGGAGACACTGCTATATATTTTAGCACTATCAGCATTTACCATTTGTCAACAATTTCCTATTGACCACAAATTCTTTGAGAGCAAGAACCAGGCCTGTGACTTCATATATTCTCTGATTTTTGAAAGAGAATCTTACGCCCTTTCAACAGATATTTAATGAATTGATTAACTCAGGCAGTTGAGACAATTCAATACTCCACAATTATATCATTTGCCTGCATATAACTCAGGATGTTTATAAAGAACTGAAGCTGATAAATTCCTTCAGGAGCAAAGGATCAAGAAGTAGATTTATTTATCTCCTCAGCATTTTACTCTTGCATTGATATTATGTGTGTTTATACATTTATATATATACATAAATATACATACATACACACACAAGCATGCACCATTCTGTGCTATACCTGATAGGAGTTATAAGAAGGAATAATAGAATTCTCTGCTTTAAACAAGTTTATGAATGGAAAAAAAAAAAAGATGTAAATCACAGTGTTTTCAAAGAGCTCTTCCTATAAGTTCATTATGTGCTCCCAATAAATTAATACAAAGTATCAAGCTTTAAAGTTTAAAAAAGTCTTTGCCAGACTGATACACTTTTGAGATCTCTTTCCTCTTAGCCATTAATCAAATGAAGACTAAAATGTTATCTTTACACTAGGCAAGCAGCAAATTATGGGGTGCAGGAACTTGCAGCAATGTAGCTATTGAAATGGAGCTCACTCAGGGCACCTGGGTAGTTCAACTGGTTAAGCTTCTGACTCATGATTTTGGCTCGGGTCATGATGTCATGGGTCGTGGAATCGAGCCCCTCTCAGGCTCCACACTCAGTGCAGAGTCTGCTTGTCCCTCTCCCTCTGCTCCTCTCCCCACTCTCTCTCTCAAATAAATAAATATAATCTTTAAAAAAAAAAAAAAAGAAATGGAGCTCACTCTTACTTCACTTCATGCAAGTTTTCTAGCAAAAGTCCTCTATTTTATGGTCACTACAGGATTCATTGGTTTTCTTGTTTCCTGTCTTGAGTCTTCAAACTTGGTTCGAACTAGCAGTTTGAACTTGGTTTGAACTAGCAGTTAAAGGATCAGTTTCTGCCGTCTCAGGTCTCTTTTACATAAAATTCCCCACTTGTAAAATAAATAATTTGAACTCAGTAGTCTTGTACTATTGCTTGTTTTAAATAAATGAAATCTTTTTTTTAACAAAATTTCACTGAAAGACTTAACATATGAAACATTTCCAAGCAGAGCTGGTCTGCTTGAGCAAATAAGGCTACCCACAGCCTTCCTTCCTTACACAGCTCCCTCTGCGCCTGAGGTGACTTACCAAATGCCTGGTCTCTAGAGAACACAATTTGGAAAGCATCAAACTAGACTTTTTCTAATTACTTTCAACCTAGAATTTTGGGTTAATTTTTATTGGTTAATATGAGTGATTACAGGCCCATAAAGAAATACCAAATAGAGAATTTACGTCGATCCAGTTGAGGTAAAATGTGGAGGGTGTAAATACTGAGAAACATCCATCACACAGAGATTTCAATGCAGATCACATGTAGAGATGTGAATTTTTCTCTATCTGCTAGAAACATAACAGAAACTCCTCTGTGCACCAAAAGAAATTATGCCCTTTCAAATATTAAATGTCATGTATAGAAATGCCAGGCACCATTAAATATGGAGAGAGAAAATTGGAAAAAATTACAGAGTTTTATTGCCCTCTTTTTCGCAAGTCACTTATACACACATCTTACTTTAAAAGAAAACCCTAAACCTCTATACAAGAGTTATTCCCTCTGCAGCTGTTGTAGAGATATGACAGGCTGGAATACACTGTTGATTGAAGAGTAGGATTTTAGTACAGTGAGATTTGTTTGTGCTTTGGACTGCATGCTTTGCGGTTTTATGGAAGGATGTACTATTTCTCTGAACATTGTCCAGCAAGCTGCAGCAAAATGCATCTTAACAAACTCTATTTGGTGGGGAATAAATAGCTTGCTGGGACTTCCATTAGGGCCCAATGCAAAAACATTTTGTGATGAGGTTCCCAATCAAAGCAACTCAGAACATACATATAAACAAGCAGATGAAGTTCAGAAAACACCTATGGAATGAGCTAACCGCCTTCAGTGAAGAGGCAGGAGAGCTGAGGCTAGGCTCCCATTGTTTACTGCTGGTAGTGAAAATTTATAATGGATACTCTAGGCATATATTATTTATCAGATCTGATCCTGGACCACACAAATCTACTGAGGTCACCAAAGCTATCTTTTATTTAAAATCTAGGACGCAGCAACTAGAAAACAAAGAGGAACAATGTTAACTGGATACTAGATAGGAAAGATAAAACTATAAATACCTCTTTCCTGGGATAGAACTTTGCTCAGTCAGAAGTATTAGTGAGTTTTCTTCAGGGGACAGGAGTGGGGGGAAAAACTGTCCTCTGGTTTAGAAAGGTGACCATTTCAGATCAATTAAGTAACTAAATGCTAGGCATGTGATACCATCAGAAGATGATATAAATTTCTAAGTGGATTGTTACCTAACTTTTAGGGCTTCTCTATATGAAATATCAGTAAGTAATTTCACTTACCCTGCACTGAAATGTCTGGTTCATTTGCTCCCCGATGTGGAGATCTTTTAGCATGAGAGAGCAGGGTTCATATTAATTGCTTTCCCTACTCCCTTTTCTTTCTTCACAAACATAAAAATTGTTCTTTCTTCAGTATCTCTTTGTATTCCATTTATATCACTTTACCTACCCCTAGATTGATGCCAACTTCAGGGCAGGTCCATACCTTTCATTTCTCTGTAAATCCAAAAAATATTCAATTAGTTTTCCATATAATAAATCCTGTTGGATAAATGAAAAAAATAATATATAAAAATATGAACAAAAGTGCCAAGTATGAGTAAATATAGAATATTCTTATCAAAACAAATGTGATTTTCTAATAAAATCTGAAAAGAGTTCTCATTTCCATATATCATTAAATCTTAGAAATTTAAAGCTTTCTGGGAGAAACAACTCATTATGTGTATAAATATTTTTTTTTTAGGCCACTGGGTATGATGGGCTGGGTTCTGACAGACTCCCATTTGCTTTCGCTAGGGTGCTGAATGCTCAAGTCTGTATGGTTTCTCCCAATCTTGCAGTCCATCCAAATTTCTGTATTTGCCCACCAGCTGTCTACAAAGTCTCACTCTCACTTCCTTCAGAAACAAGCACAGGGTAATGTCCTTGGGGTTTGGGGCATATGTGTCAGTGAAGTGCATGCAGTTTTGGGGGTGCCCATAAGCCACATGGCAGGGATCTACAGGGATGCATCTCCAGAAGCCCATTGACATGTATCCTGATGGAGTCTGCAAAGTGGTTACTAGGATCTGGGTACCCCTGCTGCCTTCTGAGAGCCCTAACTATGGCTCTCCCAGGCATTCTCTGTCTCTAATACACCTCAGTATTTTGGATGGGCAGGGAGTAGGTCCCTGGCAGTGGCAATGCAGCTTTGTATTGCTGGAGAAAGCTCGTGCTCATTTACATGCTCTCAATTTCCCCTGTGGGAGAAATTACAGGCTAAGAAGTTCATTCTTGGAACTTTGGAACTGGGTTGTGCCATCTTGAAGGAGGGGTGACACAGGTAAAGTAAAACTGGTCCTCTTACCTTCTTCAATGCTTACAATCTGGGATTTTTTTTTTTTTCCCCTCTACTAGTGTGCTGTAAGTTCTCTGCTGGGCTCCTGGACTTCTGCAAGGCACGCTTGTCCATGGGTGATTGTCTGTATCAGTGTTCTTTGAGCGGAAAATGGTAGAAAACTATTTTACCATTTTGATGACATCACAATATCACATTTCCTTTATCCATTCATCTGTTGATGAACACTTAGTTGCAATAAACAAGGACATGTAGATATCTCTTTGAGATAGTGACTTAATTTCCTTTGGATGGATTTTTATATATATATCAATAAAACTGAATATATATATTTAAATATATAGATAAATATACATTATATAGAAAGACAACTTTATTAAGGAATAATTGACATCTAAATTGTAATACATTTAAAGTGTACTATATGATGAGTAGGTGTATGTATACATTGTGAAATGATTCCCAAGCCATGTGGCTGGCAGTAGGTGGCAATTCAGGTCTTTGTGTACTTAATGACTATGTTATTCAGCTTTCTAAGCTCAGAAGTGGAGGTAAAGTGTGAACTTGACCTTGAATGATGACCAGGATTTCACTAGGCAAAGACAGGAAGAGGATTATTGATCAACATTGGCAAAGACACAGAAACTTGAAAACACTCAGCATATTAGGAAAATAGAAATACTTCTTTATGGTTAGAGTTTGTGCTGGGAAGGTAAGGAAATGTTGGAAAGTGAAATTAAAAGTTAGGATAGAGCAGTGATTCTCAACATTTTTAGTCTACGGACCCCATAACACTGTGAAAACAATGAAAATTCCCAAAGAGCTTTTGTCTATGTTATATTTACTGGTATTTTTTGTGTTAGAAATTAAAATTAAAAAATGTCTTAAGAGTTTATTTATTCATTTGTAAGAATAATAGGCTCATTACATGTTAATATGAAAAATACATTTTTACACATCTCTTTAATGTGTGGTGCATTAGTTTCCTATGCAGCATAATAAATTACCACGAACTCTGAGGATTAAAAGAACAAGCGTTTGCTATCTCCCAGTTGCTGTGGGTGAGAAGGCCAGCCCTTGCTACACTGAGCCCTCTGCTTATGATCTCACAGAACTGCAATCAGGTGTTGCTGAGCTATGTTCCCATCTGGATGCTCAAGGGGGGAAGATCACTTGGGCTGTTGGCAGAATAGGATAGAAGTTCCTACTTTCTTGTAGGCTGTTGGCTAGGGACCACTCAGCTTTTAGAGCTAAACAGCAATTCCTTGCCATATGGTTCTCTTAAAACATGGCAGCTTACTTCAAAACCAGCAAAGGAGTCTCTCTCTTCTAAGATGAAGTCTTATATAATGAAATATAATCATGGCAATGATATCCCATTACCATTGCCATATTCTATTGGCTAGGAGGAAGTTACAGATTCCAAACGGTAGGGGATTTTACAAGGGCATGGATACACAATAGGGTATGTCTGACACATGTGGTTTAATAAAAAGCAGCTAAATTTTTATATCTGCTTTTGTATTCAACTTGTGATGGAATATTTTAATAATATTTCAGGTAATTGTAGGTGCTCTTTAACAATACATCGAAACTCAACAAACGGTGGTTTCTTAGGATTAGTTACAAAATAGAAAGTGAAACACTATCAATGAGCTTTTCATACTATTACATTAAAATTCATTGGTTTTTTTCTGCATGCATCATTTTGACCTCATAGAGCCTCTGAAAGGCCTCAGAGATTCATGGGTCCCCAGAGCATTATTTTAAGAGCCACTGGGAAAGAGATTTTTATGTAAGTGTAGAAATTTAGGGAAACCTCTTTCTTTCCTTCTTTCTTCCTTTCTTTTCCTTCCTTCCTTCCTTCTCTTTCTCTTCCTTCCTTCCTTTCTTCCCTCCCTCCTCCCTTCCCTTCCCTCTCTCTTCTTCCTTTCTTTCTTTCTCTTTTCCTTCCTTCCTTCCTTTCTCTTTCTGTACACAGACTGAACAACATAAAGATTAAGGGCATGGGTTATGGAGTCAGCCTTCTTGCAACTGAATTCCTGTGCCACCACTTATAAACTGTGTGAGTTTCAGCAAATGAAATCAATACTGTGAACTTTATAATCCTAATATGTGAACACTACTAGAAATTATTTGATGAGATTGTTGTGAGAATTAAAGAGAATGTATGTATAGTGCTAGATGCAATGCCTGCTACAAAGTGAGTGCTAAATAACTGTTAGGTAAATATACCAGCATGCAGTAGTAGATATTTTCAAGTATGGAGTAGAGGAACTGACCTACCTCTTTGAAGTAATCACGTGACTGATCTACTATATGGGTCACACATTCAAGCCAAGCACATGCTCATCCTTTATGAGCTCAGAGATAATACTTTCCACAAATATTGGCCCTTCTGCTAGCTGTGTTTCATCACTTGCTTTGCCTCCTCTATGGAAGGTTCTGTTTAGCTACCACTTAAGAGGACTTGTTCTCCTTTTCATGCTCATCTCTAACCTTCTGGACAAGTTCAGTAGTGTGAAAAGACAATACAGAAGTTGGTATTTAAGCATCTACAACCGTGTCTATATCTGGAAGAGAAATGTGTGGCTTTTCCCATATGATTTGTTTTGTTTTCATATTGTCTTGAAATTTGATGTATTCATCAACAAAGTTGTCTTCCAAAGATTATATGTTATTGTATGATCTCTTGGAATTACATTAATGAATAGACTCCATCCTAAGAAGAGTTACCAGTTGTGGAGGTTCTAAATGGTTTTCTTTAGCATCACATTTAAACAAACCATAAGAAGAACATTTTTAAAAACTTAGAAATACGGGGGCGCCTGGGCGGCTCAGTCGTTAAGTGTCTGCCTTCGGCTTGGGTCATGGTCCCAGGGTCCTGGGATTGAGCCCCGCATCGGGCTCCCTGCTCAGCGGGAGGCCTGCTTCTCCCTCTCCCTCTCCCCCTGCTTGTGTTCCCTCTCTCGCTATGTCTCTGTCAAATGAATAAAATCTTAAAAAAAAAAAAAAAAACTTAGAAATACGACTGAAGGGGCACCTGGGTGGCTTAGTCAGTTAAGTGTCTGCCTTCAACTCAGGTCATGAGCCCAGGGTCCTGGGATCGAGTCCCACATGGGGCTCCCTGCTCAGCAGAGAGCCTGCTTATCCCTCTCTATGCCTGCCACTCTGTCTACTTGTGCTCTCTCTTTCTCTCTGTGTGTCAAATAAATAAATAAATAATAAAAATACAAACATTAAAAAATTTAAAACGAAGAAATACTGTTGGATTACTTTAATAGTTATGTCATCTGGATACCTCAAAAAAATGTAAAACTCCTCAAGGTCAATGAAAGACATCTAGCAGTTTTTAGTTTTCCCTGGGCACTGGTAACAGCTTATCGCTCATTTCTTTGGACAAACTGCCTAGGTAACTGACGGTGATAACAAAGATAGAAAATTCATCTTGTCCCTTAACGTGGTTTCACCCTTCCAGTAATTCACATTCTGTTTTTCCTACAGTGATCCAACTCAGTTATCCCAAAATTGTGGGAGGCCATAGCTTGGGAGAATACTTGCTTAAGTGATCTCCATCTCCATGTCAGAAAGCTGACTACAGAAAAAGCTAACTACTTTGGAAACAGAATCACCTGGGCATTAGTGTTTCCTTTGGGGCACACTAATAAGGGCAAAATAACCATTTGGAACAGCTAAAACCGATGTAAAAATGTACCCCATGCCAGGTGAATTGTGGGACATTCTTAGAGTTGAGTGTATCATAACCTAGAGAGTGAAAAGTGGAGGCAGGATGTTTTTAGAGATTCTAATCCTTAGCTTAAACAGATAAATTACCTGGAATAGGCAGTAGGCAGGTGCTGATATGCTTATGCATTCTGAGAAAGGCAAGATTCAGGTTTATCAAAGGTACCCCAGGTAACAATGAAGGCTGAGGTGATTTAGTCCAAAAGATGGGCAACTGAATTGTATTTAGATTAGGCACATCCTTACCCATGGCCATGATGAAAAACTGGTTTTCACCATGTTCTAGGTGAAAAAGGACTCATGATGGTCCCATGGCATAGTTCAGTATGTTGGCATCTGACCACTTTGTCCAAGGAAAAGGCCACTTAGGAATTTAAGAGACAGTAATGCACATTAGGTTTCTATTTTGATTATCGTCCTCCCACAATAAAGATACCAACTTTGTGGTGATGGAAGCCTTAATATTAGAACATTCCTTTTGTTTCAACCCCTACCTTGCTTTAGCTATCACTATGTTCTACATCATGGTTTCTTAATGACAGCACTATTGATAAGTTAGGCCACATGATCTTTTGAGTTATGTATGTGTGGGGAGGTATGCACTATAGAATGTTTAGCAGCTTCCTTGACTTCTAGTCACAAGATGCCAATAGCACACCTCCCTCCCTAATGTCTTCAGGCATTGCTAAATTGCCAAATGTCCCCTGGTGGGCAAAATCACCTTACTTGAATTCCAGTGTTCTATATTAATAGTATTATCTTCCTCAAGGGCATGCATCTGTGACCCTAAGTTTGTGTCACAGTTTTGGATGGGGTTGTTCAAGGTTTATTATGAATAATCAACATATTTAGTGCCCCGAACCCAAAAATAAATAGCCAAAAAGACATGTCATTCAGATATTAGTTTTAAAAACCCTCAACTTTCATACATTTATATAAACTTTTATGTCGACTACTAATAACATGATTTGTCTACTTGATTCACCATAGTTGATTTTGCCTAAAACAACTCACTACTTCTCTTTTCTTTGTAACAACCTATTTCAGAGCAACTATCGCTTACAGTCTTGATATTTTCTTACACTCTCAGCACTACTAATGACCTCCAAGTAGGCTTGTATCTGGAGTAAGGATAGGTAACTCAGAGATCACTCAAAGATATCTTTTGTCATACCAACAAGCAGGTCATGGAATATGTCTAACAGACCACAGGAACAAGTAGCTGAAGGAAAGTTATGTTCTGGTTCTACTGTAGACACATTCTTACTATTTATCTATATTTAAAGGTAGAGGACCTGTTCTTGGAACCCTTATTGTGACATTGGTTGTCAACCCTATGGCTTCTGGCCTTAATTTCCCCCACCTGTAAGCATTGTTGCTATCTTCCACCGCC